ATATTACTTAAATAATTCATAATAATAATAATAATAATAATAATAATAATAATAATAATAATAATAATAATAATAATAATAATAATAATAATAATAATAATAATAATAATAATAATAATAATAATAATAATAATAATAATAATAATAATAATAATAATAATAATAATAATAGAAAAAATAAAAATATATATAACTAGAGTTCATTATTAATTTTATAATTTTTTTTTATTTTCCTATGAATAATTTTTAATAAAAAAAATGATTTTAATAAATAAAAAAAAAATTAAATAAGCTCGAGCTCGGCTCGTTTCCACCCCTAGTTGTGTGCTATACTTAACACAAAATAGGGGGTTTCTTGATAATTCTTTTATCATAGGGACTTTTTCGCCAATTAGAAATAATACAGGGGGGTTTGTGCTATTAGCTCCTTTTAGATCTTTAGAAACTATACTTTGGTGAAGTAAAGATTATTTCTATGTTACACTTGATGATTTTTTTCTGTTGATCTACACACACCAATGTGGATGTGTGTATCTGTGTGTATATGAATGGTAAAGATTTACGTGGTGTATTTCACCTAGTGTAACATGGTATAAGCCCGAAATAAAATAAACATACCGAAAGTAGCGGAGTTGAAGGTAGTGTAGCCATCGATAACGTTACGGTTTCCCGTAACGACAGTAGCGTTGATCCCATCTCCGATTAACATAATATTTTTCTTGTTTTTGGGCACGACAATGTATTCTTGGTAGTAACCTTGTTTAGCGTAAATGACGAAGTAGCCATCGTCAACTACCGAGTTATTAGGCGCGAATGCAACCGCTTCGTTTATTGATGAAAAGTTGGCCCCACCGTAAGGGCTAACTGTGACCGTGTTGTTAATGCGAATTCCACTTTCCGTTAATACTTGTCCTAGAAGTCGATTTGATGCCTTCTTAGATCCTAATTTTGGCACTAGCAAAACCTGTTTCCAAACATATAACAATGTTACGTTATTGTAACCCTCTCTTTGTAATGAATATAATTATACGTGTTGAAATTTGGAAAGAAAAATCAAATAATTTCCACACTAGATTCGAAATGGGTCAAACAAAATAAGAACAAATTCTATTCGTGAACAAATCAAGCTTGAACACATATTTTTTAGTATGAAGCAAATCGAGCTAGATTAGAATAAAAAAATGATGAGATGGCATAGAAAATCGAGCCCGTCGAGCTCTCCATCTGTGTTTGGTTCGATTAAAGTTCGGTCGTCGAGTAAATTACTAATCAAATTAAGTTCAAACTTGACTTGAAACTTTCATAAAAGTTTAATTAAATTTGAACAACTACGCGATCAATTCGACTCCATTCATTTACACCTGTATAAATATATAAGCACTAATGAAGAAACTGCTCCACGTGAGTTATTTTAGGTCTTGCCAAACTCCATTATTTTCCCAACTTGTGTGCATCTATTATATGTAGTGTTAAGTTATACAGCAAGTAGCCTTATTATTATTATCACTATTTAACTCTTGTGTCATCTGAATTTACTATTTATATTTGTATTATAGGGGAGTTAGATGTTACACCTGGTTATTTACAGAGTGGATTTAGATTTAAACCATATGTTTAATTAAATAACTATATATTAATCACATATACATGGGTGTGTGTAATTATATGTAGATTTACTGTTCAATGCCCAACATACATTATTATTTTCAGACAAAAAATAAAAAAAATGTTATAATATTATGGACTATAGCACTTAATTTATAGTATGACAAGTGTCCTAGATAGGTGTCAAAATTAAACTATAGAAGTTACCAAGTAATGACATGTGTAATGGTGACTAAGGCATTCTCATGCCTATAAATACTTGTATTTTGTGTTGAAATGAATAATAGAAAAAGAGCTTTTAGCAAGCGGCACCCCTATGATATGTCTAATTGCCGAAAAAGTCCCTATGTAAAAACAATTAGCACTTACCCCCCTATGTTAACAAGTCAAAGTCACCCGCCCCCCTACCAGCAAATCGTGTGACATACGCGCGTTTTGTGCGACTTGTTGATGGTTTTTTGACTTGAAAGTCTCAAATGCCCCTAAAATCTTTTTTATAATAAACATAAATTCAATAGAACTTAAATATAAATAATACAAATTCTTGGGTCAAATCGCAAAATTTAGAAACTTTTTTGAAACCCTTTTTCCCCTTTTTCTTCTCAGACGACGGTGTGGAGACCAACCGGCAACCACCATCTGCATCTTCTTAGAGTTCCGATATGGATGTCGAGAGGACATCTCCGAAGGAGTTTAGAAGATTAGGGAATGGATTTTCAGTTGACGGAGCCGCCGCCAATGGAGGTAATCGGTCAAATCGAATCCACCAACGGTGGAGGTATTATTTGAAATTCCCATCTCGAGACTTCAATTCTTGGTCGGCGGAGAGAGGTGGCGGAAATGGTGGATGATAGATGATGGATGGCGGAGAATATGATGGGTTTTGGGTGGGGTGGGGTGGGGGGAGGGGGGTGGGTGGGGTTGGCTGGCACGTTTGGGGAAGAAGATGGCTTTTTTTAAGTTTTTTTTCTTCCTTTTCTTTTATTTTCATTTTTTTATATGTTTTATTAAAACAAAAAATAAAATTCTAAAACTATAAAATTTTTAAATCAATATATATTGTTTAATTATGTTTTTTGAAATATTAAGTTTCTCTTATTTATATTTTATTTTTATTAAAGTATATAAAAAAAATTTGGGGTTTGTTTCACAATTTGGAAAAATAGTTGTTTAGGACAAGGGTACTATAGTCATTTCAAGGCAGTCAACGAATTTTATTTGAATCAGGGGCTGTAGGCTAAATAAAACCCATCATAGGGGGGTTAAAGCTAATTGTTTTAACACGGGGGCCTTTGCGGAAATTAGACATTTCACAGGGGGGTGTATGCAATTAACTCAATAGAAAAAGGGAGAGCATTTGCAACGGATGCCCTATTAATAAAGGAAAAACAGACTCCAATGATTGAATGCCACGTGTTACCTATTTCACAAGAATTTAAGCACCGCACATCATCACACTGCAACCACAGTAGCATATTAATATACCTAATTACTCTAATAAATAATAGTGTGTCGAAAAATGAATTTATTTGAAATATTATAATTAAGAATTTGTTTGTAAATAACCCGAAAATCCGAAACCCGAAACCCGAAAATCCGAAATCCTAAACCCGAAACTCGAAAACCCGAGAAACCCTAAACCCGACCAAAACTTGAAAACCAAAACCCGAAATCTGAAACCCGAAACTCGAAAACGTGAAACGCGAAACCCAAAACTCGAAACCCGAAAACCCGTAATCCAAAACCCGAAAACCCGAAATCCAAAACCCGAAACCGGTAATAAAAATTATGTAATCAGTAAAAGTAAAAAATAAAATAAATAAATAAATAAAAGATTTATATTATAATTTAGCACCAATAGTGCAATTTTTGTCCACGTGTTTGTCAATCAAAGGCATCCGATTATCTCACTTAAACGGAGAGTCCGTTTTTAATGAGACAACCTACAAATTGATTGACAGCCCCGTATTGGGGGGCTTATATTGCTCATTTCAGGGGGAGCAATAGTGCGCTGCACTCTTTTTTCCCTTACGACTGGTTTTCATCCCATTGGGTTTTCCAGCTAAGGTTTTTAACGAGGCAGCTTATGCACACGACTTGGATTTGAGTTATGCACTTTTTTTCCCTTCTGATCGGTTTTTCCCACTGGGTTTTCCGGCTTAAGGTTTTTAATGAGGCATTAATTCAGTCGATACAATAGTGCTACGTCCAAGGGGGAGTGTTATAATATTATGGACTATAGCACTTAATTTATAGCATGACAAGTGTCCTAGATAGGTGTCAAAATTAAACTATAGAAGTTACCAAGTAATGACATGTGTAATGGTGACTAAGACATTCTCATGCCTATAAATACTTGTATTTTGTGTTGAAATGAATAATAGAAAAATACACCTTTTGCTAGCATTTTTATCTCTCTCTATTCTCTCTCCTCACACACACTCTCTCTCTATCTTTCCCACTTACATTCTCTATACACACATAGTATAATATATTACATTATGTATAATATTATATTAGATAATGTATATCATATATACATATATGACATCCGTATATACATATATAAACATATATATTAGATTCAATATTAATAACTAACTAATATTGATTAATTAATAATATTCACACCATTAGCGTTTCTAGTAAAATATTTAATAAACGAGCTAATGGGAATTATTTCACAACACGTTATCAGCACGAGGTTCTGCTCGAAAAATGGTAGGTTATGTAAGTTTGTTTATGTTATTATTTATTTTAGGGTTAACTGCAAAAAATCCCCTAAACTTTGGACGTTTTTGCGCTTTACCCCCTGAACGGAAAAAAGTTGCACGAGCATACCTAAACTTACGTATTTTTAGCACCGATTAAGAAATAGTCCATTTTTGGACATTTCTGGCCGGAATCAAAATCACGTGCCTTGCACGTGAATATAGCAGGGTTAAAATAGTATTTTCCCCTCAACCTCCTTCATATTTACAATCCTTCTTCTTCCCACCTCCCTTAACCGTCACTCTCACTTTCTCTCTCACACACCCACACACACACACACTCACAAATTCACCTTCCAGCTTAATTGCAACTGAGAATTTCAAAAAAAAGAAAAAGAAAAGAAAAACCCAGTTGTTGATAATCAATCAATCATCTCCTCTGTTTGTTAAATCAAAGACAGAGGAATGAGTTCAACTCTGCTCTACAACCCAATCAACCCATCAACAGCGCTGTATTCAAGAACCCCTTTTCTAATTCCCAAGGATTTTCCGGCGGGGTTGTCACCGAACCAGTAACCCCTCTCGAGGAATCCAGAAAATGGGTTCTCCAAGAAATTTACAACCAGAGCCAAGGCCGCCGCCGCCGTGGCCGAGCCGGCAAGAGCCGAGCCGCCGTCTAAGGAAAAGAAGAAGATGAGGGTTTTGGTGGCCGGCGGCGGAATTGGGGGGCTGGTTTTCGCTTTGGCGGCGAAGAGGAGAGGGTTTGACGTGGTGGTGTTCGAGAAGGATTTGAGTGCAATTAGAGGGGAGGGGCAATATAGGGGGCCGATTCAGATACAGAGCAACGCATTGGCTGCTTTGGAAGCCATTGATATGGATGTTGCTGATGAGGTTTTGAGCTCCGGCTGTATCACCGGTGATCGGATTAATGGCTTGGTTGATGGCATTTCTATTACATTTTTTAGGGGAAAATACTATTTTAACCCTGCTATATTCACGTGCAAGGCACGTGATTTTGATTCCGGCCAGAAATGTCCAAAAATGGACTATTTCTTAATCGGTGCTAAAAATACGTAAGTTTAGGTATGCTCGTGCAACTTTTTTCCGTTCAGGGGGTAAAGCGCAAAAACGTCCAAAGTTTAGGGGATTTTTTGCAGTTAACCCTTTATTTTATTTGATAAAATCCAGATTCTCGATATCAAATGGTGAAGCGAATACTACGGCATTTATACGCCACCGATTTTCGGAGGAAAGGAAGGATATATATTTATAATTATGTACATGTTGATTTATGAGAAGAAAAAAAAAAGTTATTATCTCTCGCCTCGGCTATGAAAATTACTCCGAACATAATGTTCGTAGAGATGGTGGACATCGTAGTCCCCGATAATGGTCGATATAGAAGCCATAAATATAACTCCGGGTGTGATGCCCGTAGAGTCACTAAAGGTTGTGATTCCCCTAAAAGGCCAATGAGGCTATTAAAATAAAATTAATTGGGTTATGTACCTATATAAACGATGGACATTTTTGGATTGAAAGACCATTATAAAATTAAATATGGGGTTAGACCTACAACGGCGATGTGAAAGATAGTTCTCGTCAAGATGTTTTTAAATTGACTAGAGTGAATGTAGATATTTCTACCTAGATAATCATCTGGTCAACATAAATTAAAACTCCTGAGTTTATTGCCTACAAAATA